TGTGTCTGTGTGTGCGTGTGTATGTGTCTGCATGCGTGTGTGTGTGCGCGTGTATGTGTTTGTGTGTGTGTGCGTGAGTGTGTGAGTGTGTGTGTGTCTCTCTGTGTGTGTGTATGTGAGTGTGAGTGTGTCTGTGTGTGCGTGTGTATGTGTCTGCATGCGTGTGTGTGTGCGCGTGTATGTGTTTGTGTGTGTGTGCGTGAGTGTGTGAGTGTGTGTGTGTCTCTCTGTGTGTGTGTATGTGAGTGTGAGTGTGTCTGTGTGTGCGTGTGTATGTGTCTGCATGCGTGTGTGTGTCAGTGAGTGTGTGAGTGTGTGTGTGTGTGAGTGTGAGTTTGTGTGTGAGTGTGAGTGTGTGTGTGTCTGTGTCTGTGTGTGCGTGTCTGCATGCGTGTGTGTGTGTGCGTGTGTGTGCTTGTGTGCATGCGTGTGTGTGTGTTTTAACTGGGAGGTAAGTTGGTTGTACATGATATTATTGTCTGACCTTCCTCAGTGCCGTATATCACGTGTCTTTGGATTAAGCTGACATACAAGAGTTGATATGCATCTGTGATAATTGCATTTTGCTTTAGAAAGCATGCAAAATGCTTTATTTTTGTCCCATCTCGGTTTGTTTTGTACAAAAGTGTTGCATTAGCATTAGCATTATTGGTGTGTCAGTGCCATTATCTCAGACACACTGCTCTGATGAAGCATCATGGGTTTATAACCCACACACAGCTGAATGCAACGCTGCAGTCACTCTTCAGGTTTCAACTCACATTCAGTACAAGAGTTACTTCAGGGCTCTACGCTTATTTTTCGTTTTAGGAGCGCTTGTGCTCCTAACTTAAAAAATTTAGGAGCACAGTCAAAAATTTAGGAGCATTAAAATTTGATCAAAAAATAGCCTTCCCATTACGAGGTGATATTTGACTCCTTAAAGTGATTTACAGTAGAATTTTGTTTTTACTTTTGTAATGGCATTTTTCTATCTTTATTAAAAGTATGTCATCTTTTATGTCAAATTTTTAAAAAATTAGAATACAAGTAAACAAGTAGAATAAGAAGAATATGTTACTAATCAAATGAAATCAGTATTAAAATTAATTTGTACAGAGGTGGCACAGAAGAACACAAAAGTGGCTTGTAGGTGTATTTTCAGACATTTAATGAGGATCAGAGGTGGCATGAGTGCAATTAAATCCATAAATTCATGTGGAGATTAATGTTTAAAAAAATGTTGAATATATAAATATTAAATGATTTAGGCCCAATCCCAATTCTATTTTATACCCCTTCCCCTTCTTCTACCCCTCCGCCTACCCCTTCCCCTTGTCCCTTGAAACAGAGAGTCAAGGAGTAGGGGTGAAAATATTCCCCTAAGAATTGGGACACCACTACTATGCCGTCATACCTCATCATACGTCGTCTAGCTCCTACAATACACACACCTATACTGGTGTGCTGGTGTGTGCATTAGAGACTTTAATTACCGTTCTATATTAATGCGCTGCTTACTGACACACACACACACACATACACAGACACACACATATATCAGAGATCGCGCAGCTCACACATCCAGGAGAAAAGAAACTTGTCAACGCTGCCCCACGACTTTTATTAATAACAGTTTAAATACTGAATCGCTAAATTATATTTTCCAGCAACGAGAGAATATAATCGCTGTTTTTGAAGTAAACTCACTCTAAGAAGAGAAACGCACAGACGCGCATTCACGCATCTCTCTCTCTCTCTCTCTCTCTCGAATTGGCGATATGTGAGAAAAGGGTTTAGCGATTTATAATTATTGGGGGGACTAGCCCCCCTCAATGTCTACGGTGGTTATTGCCCTGATCAGACATGAACATATGTTGTGGCACTACTGCAAAAACACATAGAAACCTTTGAAGCTCCCCTCAGCGATCACAATCACAAGTATGATGATGATCTGGTCAGTCGCACTGGTGCTCCTAAATATGTTTTCATAGTCGCACGCAGTAGTTTTCAGTCGCAAATGCAACTGAAATGGTCGCACTGTAGAGCCCTGTACTTACTATTTTTCAACAACCTGTGGCGTTAAGCATTAGGAACACTCACGTGTTAGCTTGTTCATTTCAACAGCTTTAATATTAAATCATTTATTACAAGTATAAAATCAATGTATGTTACGTCCACCACAAAATATTCAGATATTTTTATGCAAAATCAGTTTAACTTGATTCCGTCGTTCTTAACGCTTGGAGGGATCAACAATTGCTGTGGTTTCCATTTCCAAAGCATCTTTACTGATTGGTGGATCAGACTGCTTGTGGCTTTGAGGAAGAAATATTAATAATAAATATTATTATTATGCTCAAAAGCATACATGTGTTATCTGTTATTGCATATGTTATCCAGTCAGTTTCAGTTCAGATTCTCGATTTGGCTCTTGTGTGGCACTGATCAGGCATATTTGCAATACTAAACTCATTCACACACTTATAGTGTCATGTTTTATTCTCATAACAGCTTTGTTTTTGAAGCTGGTCATTTGATGGCACTCTGTTGATATTATTCAGCCTTCCACAAAGCCGGGCGTCAGGCGGAGGCCGTGCGAGTGCTGGAGCAGCTTACCCATAATGCCGTGGTGGAGAGCAGGTTTAACGACGCCTCGTACTACTACTGGATGCTGTCCATGCAGTGCCTCGACATCGCCAGAGGTCTCTAAGAGCTCATGCTTGATTCTTTGCTGTACTTTGAGGAAATGAAGAGGTCTGAGATGCTTGATAAACCACTGAGATATGTTTGGATGAATGTGAATGTATATCTTCTCTAGATAACTCGGAGAAGAAGGAGGAGATGCTGAAGAAGTTTCACAGTTTCCAGCACTTGGCTGAGCTGTATCACGTCTATCATTCTGTCCATCGCTACATGGTAAGCGCGAGATGTTAGCTGGTGTTAAGGAGTGATATCAGCTGCTTTCAGGTGCTCATCTCCATGTCAGGGGCGTTGAGAAATAATTCATATAAAAGTGTGAGATCCAGTATATTACAGAGGCTGCCAGTGTCACTGAACTCCCAAACATGACATGAGAGCACATCTGTGACCTACAGTTCAGTCTTTATCACTGAGTGGACCATTGATAAAAAGGCAAACTACAGTTAGTATCAATGAATAAAAGATACACAGTGACTCTTACTGTATTAATGCATTTTTTGAAGCATTATGCACAATGTTTAATAAACTCCTCATAAAAAAAAAAAATGCCTTCACTTTTTCTGTTCTCTTTCTATTCTTTCTTACTATCCTTTGTCTCTTCCTGTCCTATTTTTTACTATTTTGAACGATGACTTCTGTGTTCTGATTAATCTCAGCTGCGTTGTTCATATTTATGTTTGTTTTTTCAGTCAGAGCCCTTCAGTTCCAACATGCCAGAGATTCTCTTCAACATCTCCCGCTTTCTCTTCCACAACCTGACCAGAGACGTTCCTATGGGCATCTCCAAAGTGTATCCTTCACGCGCTGCACACGCTCTTGAGCGTTTGGAGGGTTTCAGTGAGATGCTCTTGTGAGTTGAGTTATTAGAGTTGAGTTGGGCTGAAGTGTTGACAGTGTGTGTGTGTGTGTGTGTGTGTGTGAGAGAGAATGTCCAAACACTTATAATGCTGATTACATCATACTGTTATGGTGCTCTTGCCTCCATTCAGCGTAACTACATGAAAACAACAACCAGCACAATCTTTAATGCCGTTCCATTTGTTTTGCCACGGAGGGAAGAATGTTAGATGTGTTTGGATCATTTAAGTGCGAGTAAGTGATGATAGATTTGTCATTTTGGCTTTTGCTTTACATTAATGCTTATATTGGAAGCATACCTAAAGCAGATGTGAATTCCAAGATAACAGCATGACACTTTTGAAAGATTTCCTTGTCATCATTCCTGACATCATTTTTGTCACTGATGGTGGCTGGATTCATGATGATTGTGCTGAAGAATAAGATGCTGCTTGTTATTGTGGTCCTTGACATGTGGATCAGGGACACGCTGTACGCTCTGGCGAAGCAGAGTAAACTCCTGGGAGCGTATAAAGTAGCACGGCACGCCTTCGAGAAGCTGCAGGGCCTGAAGATCCCATCCCGCTATCAGGACAGCATGGAGCTCAGCTGCCTGACGGTGCGCTCCAAACCCTACCGTGACAGCGAGGACTTGATCCCGATGTGTTACCGCTGCTCCACCAACAACCCGCTGCTGAATAACCAGGGCAACTCCTGCATCAACTGCAGACAGCCCTTCATATACTCGGCCTCCTCGTATGGTGAGTGCCTCGCGCACCTGTCAGTCACAACCTGGGCATCATCTGTATTAGTTGCTGATAAATCAGGAATGCATGATTTTGTTCCTTTAAACTGTGATGGACTAAAGTCGTGTCGTGTATTCCAGGCTTTAGCGTGTGTTCAAACACCATGTTCTACACACCTGCTGGTTTCTATTAGATTCATTCTAAAGCTTTTTCAGATCATCTTCAGCCCATGCAGATTAACATTTAGTCAAAGCTTTTTGACATTCAGTGCCACTAACATGTAATGCATCAACAAATCAGGCCAAGGATGTCAGTCATGAAGGGGTGAAGTGTCTTTGCAGCATGTTGATGTGCTCTATCTGGACAAAAGTACTGGGATACCTGACCATTACATCAGCAGAGACTTTAAAGGGGTGGTTGATTGTGATTTCACTTCTTTAAAGTCCGCATGAAATCAAAATGTACAATATTTATTTTGTTGTTTATTTTGTTAACTTTAACACATTGTTTGTCTTAAAGGTGACGTATCATGAAAATCTGATTTTCCAGGTTTTAAGTGCTATAATCAGGTCCCCGGTGCATCTACCAACCAAGGAAACGTGAAAAAGATTAACTCAGTAACTTTTAGCTCCCCTAGTGATGTGGCAAAGGGATCTCATTATAATATTACCGCCCCTTAATCCGTAAGTTTACAGCCCCAGTGCCGCCATTTGATTTCGCAAGCAACAACGGTGTACCAGCTTTAATGCCATGGCGAAAGTTTGAGCAAAACATGCTAACTGTTCTGTGTTTGGCTGCACAGACGAGCACAGAACACTGTTTAGAGTCCCAGCCTCAGAGGAGACCGCAGAGCAGTGGATTTATTGATTTATTTAGGCTACTGTATAATGCTGCTGCCACACAGATCTAAAATTAACATGCGATTTATTTCCCAGCTGTTTACCTTCACAGACATAACCAACTGTTTTTTATAACTCGTGTGTTTTTAACGTAAACTTGTGTGTGAATGAGAACTTAGTTTAGTACTCACATGCTG